GACACCCACGACCTCGCGCCCCCGCCCGAGGACGCGCGAGCCGCCGGGGAAGGAGGTTTCACTGGCCGCACAACCGCGGCCACCAGTCCCCCCCAGGGCTGACCTGGGGCCCGGTACCTGCCTGTAGGCCGGCCGCCGAAGCTCTCCATGGCCCTTGGCTCCGGGCGAGGATGACCCGAGTCCCGAGGGAGAGCCGGCAGGAAAGCACGGCGCTGCAAGACACACAGGGCGCCGCCATGTTGGCCGTGGGAGACCCGGGTGGGCGGGGCAAGGACGCACTGCGCAGGCGCAGACCGTACCCCTGAGGCTGTCGGGATAGGTGAGGGCGTGTCCCGCGGGGCGGCGCATCCAGCCGCTGATTGGCTGTAAGGAGTACGTGGCTCCACCTCTGGGCGGGGTCTGCGGAGCTTTGGCTTCTCCCGGGCCCCGACGTCTGGGCGGCTCTCTAGCCAGCAGTTCCCTGGGTGCCCGCTGCTGCACCGCCAGGCGCCTCTCTCTGAACCGTAGCCGGCGGCACAGACTGCCAGCCGCACATCCCTCCTCCGCATTCCCCCGCGCAGGCAGGCCCCTGCAGTCCTTTCTCGCGGCCGGTGGGCCTGGCCCGCGATACCGCGTGCCCGCCTTCCCGCGCGGGGTTGCCCTTCCTCCTGCCGTCCACGCCGCTCAGGGTCTCCGTTGAGACCGGCTCTGGCAGCTGGCAGTCGCCTTCGCAAGATGTGGCTCCAGGCAGAGGGCCGGCACCGCCGAAGCCCTGGTGCTTTCCACCCAGTCACATCCAGTAATCCACTCCCGCAGGCCTCCACACCTGAAGAATCGGTACGATAAAACGCAGAAAATCTGAAATGGTGCAAGGAGACAAGCAACAAACGACGCATCTGTCATCATCTTACGGAACAACACTTTAGCATGACAAAAGTAGAAGCAGGCTAATGTCAGAGTGACTATCAGTACTTCCAATGGAATGCATCTAATTGTATGAGAAGCTCCCCCATTTGGTTTCCTTGTTATGTTTTAAAAGAGTGAAAAATTTGTTAGAAAGTGGCAGAGGGCCATGAAGTAGGACTTGAGAGCCAAGGCTTTATAACTCACTAAAACAGATGTCTTAAAAAATAAATAAATAAATAAAATAAAATAAATGTCTTTAAGTATCAGTGCCTACTTGTCGCAGAAGTTCTCAAAGTTTAAATGTTAATAGTAGAAATTTAATCAGCTAGAAAACAATCAAATATATGAAAGTGGAATTTATATTATTACAAATAATTTATGTTGATATACATAAATTATGTGCTGATATCAGCATTAACGTCGTGGAGAATTTCTTATTTTTTAAGCCCATGTTACAGTCTTCTGTTAGAATGCAGGACAGCAAACAGCATATTGCCCACTGCAGGGGTGGCACTTGTACTCATTAAATTTCCTGCAAAGTTTTTGAGGCTGGGGACAAACAGCTACAGGGTGACACTAGGCGTGTGATGTGGAGAGGAAAAGATTGGAGTGTGCCAGTGCACATTTAAAACACCAAAAAATGTAGTTATTAGATGGCTGAAGTTTTATTTCCTTGTATTTTTCTCTCGTTTTTGAGCACCTGTCATAACAGTCATCCCAGGGACTGAAAGTCCAGTATGACAGGGTCCTGTGTAAGCTGAGTTCCGGTTCTATAGTCAATTTGCAAACACCACGGGAGTAAAAATGTTGGGCTAACTAACAGCAAGTGCTGTTGAGATGAGGGGTAGCAGGAGATGCTGGCAGGACTGTAAACCAATGCAACTCCGCTGAAATGAATTGTGTAGTCAGCAACTTGCTAAAGTTAAGGCAAGGACACCGAAAAAGTGACCAGTTGCGCCTCTAGGTACACTACCCTGCAGGAATTCATGCAGGCTGCAGCTGGAGACATGCATAAGAATGTTCACAGCAGCCTGCTTGTATAAGACAATCTTCTACTGGCAAAAGGATAGGCAAAGGAGGACCACACAGCAAGGACAACAATGAAGCTCAGCGCACATAGGATACGGAGAGGGTTCACCTGCTGGAACAAAAGACGGGACTCACTTGTGTGCACACACTGCGATTGCACTGCGTAAAGCTGGAACAGGCAGAGCCAAGCAAGGTAGTGCCGAAGTGCTCATTCCCCAGGTAGGAAAACCATAAAGGAAAGCAATAAAAGGCAGGAACATGATTTGGGTGGTGAACACCCATCGGATGAGGACAAGGGCATCACAGACCGGGCACAGAGGGACCACGTGGTTTAGGCTTGCTAGAGCAGCGCTGTGGGCACTCCGTGCTGGTTTGAACACCGCCATGCGGAGTTCCAGGAAATGCTCTCCTCCCTTTAGTGTGAGCTGGGTGGAAAGACCTGCCTAGGGAGAGAATTAAGTGGAGGTTTTGGTGGACACACCTGGACTTTAGACATAAAAGGTGGGCTGCCTCATCCCCTCTCTCCTGAAAGGCCCTTTCTGAGAGCAGTGCATGTCTTTCCCGGCGCAGCCTTTGGGTGGGTTCTCCAGCTGGGCTTTCCTAGGCCTGCACCCTCCCATTACACCTCAGTTATCACCTTGGGAGACAGAGCCAGGACCGGCAACCCTGTGAGGTAACGCAGACATTTTACATCATTAGAGTTTGACTTAATGGAGAACTTACAAACCTGGGAATTTCTAGAAATGCAAACCCTTGGTTATGCTGTAGACTCCTGTATCCAGGCCCAGGGCTCATCGTGAAGCCCTGCAGACAACTTGGGGGGTGTTTACCGTCTCCTTCTGTCTTCTTAGTTTACGGTTTGTAGTTACATTAGACCACCAGCAATACCCTTCTCCCCCTTCCTGTCTTGTGGCTCTGGGGATTCCTCTCTATCTTCACCACCATCACTCTTATGACTGCAGTAAAAGTATGTCACATAAACATTCCCACTCTGCTTTCACTGATGTAACTGCATTCGCATTCTTGCGCAACCATTGCCTCCATCTCCAACCAGAATTACCCCAGTGCACAGGCACACACGCACGCACGCACAGAGAGCTCTTGGAAACCACCATTCTACTTCATGTCTGCGTGGGTCTGCCTACTTTAGAGGCCTCACGCCAGGGCATTCAAGGGCATTTATCCTTTAGGGCCATTATTTCACTTAGCGCAGTGTCCTCAGGATCCCTCTGTGCTGTAGTGAGGGTCAGAGTTCTTTTTAAAGGTTGAACAAAGTTCAACATATCAATACTTGATGAAAGATACCTGTTCCATGTTATGCCTAAGATGTTTGATATTCAGACAGATGGTGAGGTTAAGCTTAACAGCCTAGGTTGTATGGTAATAACAATAAGCTTCTCTTCTGGAGGGTTAACAACCTAAGTTTGCAGTCCAAAATTAGAGAAAAAGGAGGGCTGCAAGGAAAGCCAACATTTTGGCCCTAACCTTCCAAGGTCAATTAAGACTCAGGACATATGAGAACTTGTACTGTAACGTCATGTAACTCTGTAGTGTCCCAAATTTTCTGATCAAGGAGATTATGGGGCCAAAGAGGAAAGTGACCGATGATGTACAGTGTGCCTAAGGAGAGTCACATGGAGAGAAAACATTCTCTCAGGCTTTCACAGAGAGCAAACTGACCAAGTAATGGCCGTGACTCATCCACATGGCTGACACTGACAAAGGTTCTACAATCTGAGGTACAAGATCTCAGGATAAATCCTGAGGGGATTTCACTGACCTTATCAGACCCAAAAGCTACAACTCTAGTTGCATAAGTCCTGTTTTATCTTGGTCTTAACCATCCAGCAGAAAAGTATAAAAATGAAATATAAGAAGTAAAGCCATGCTGTTCTGTTGAGCTATAGGGGACTCAGGTCAACAATTTCTGACATTGCCAGTCAAGCGGAAGACCCAATACTATTATGGGCTATTGGACTCTTTTAGAATATTTTGCTGAGTTTACACACCTATAATATTCATATAACAGAACTTAACAAGAAAAGGGTATACAGATGAATGTCCATTTTGTATCTGTGTATTCAAACTGGTTAGGATAGATATATAGTTACATTCTCTTAATGAATAGAGGGATTAGTTCTTTTTTTTATAAATTTATTTTTTTAAAATTTTATTTATTTATTTATTTATTTATTTATGTGTGTGTGTGTGGGGGGCCAGCTCAGCCCACCAGGGGGCAGGGCTGGCTGGCATGTGGTGCTGGGGGATTGAACCGCAGTCCCTGTGCTTTGCTAAGCTTGTTCTAAGTAGGTGCTTTAGACCACTGAGCCATCTCACCAGCCCCTAGAGGGATTAGTTCTAATGGTGTTTGTAAATAGGATATCAAGTCTGCATCTTGTACAGCAATTAACCACTAGGAAGAATGTATGCAATGTGTTAATTATTGAAACTGTCCTACCAGTTTGGTTTGAAACTGTCTCATTGCTATTTGTTTCTCAATAAAATTATGGGAAAAAGTAAATGAATAAATAAAACATAAAAAAATAAAGTAAATTCCATTAACAAAAAAATAAAATAAAATAAAGGTTGAACAACGTTCATTCTATGCACAGTCCCCACATTGCTTATTCATTCATCCCTAGATGGGCACTTGGGCTTTTTCTGCGTTCTGTGTGCTGTGAATGATTCTGCTGTGAACGTGGGTGTCTAAGTATCTGCTCAAGGCTAGGAGATGGCGCAGCAGAATAAATGCTTGCCTGGCAAGTGCAAGGTCCTGAGTTCAATCCCCGGTACCGCAAAATAAATAAATAAATAAATAAATAAATAAATAAATAAAAATAAATAAACATCTGCTTGAGTGTCTGCTTTCGCCTGGTTTTGGTACATGAGGTGTTGCTTAAGAGTATGGTGAAAGCTCAAGCTAGGAAAACCTATTACACTGAAGGCACATTGTCGTTAACCCCCCTCCGAGTCATCCCTTCACTTTGAACACGAACACACTTAGCCCGCTGGCCTTGCCTTTTTCTGCAGCACTTCTGGAGTGCTCTTTCCTGAATGTTATTGTGCTGTCATGGCTGCCTCTATGTCCCTTTCCTCATCATTACGACTTCGGAGAAGAGCCAGAAGTCACATGGGGCCAGGGGTGGCAGGGGAGTTGGTGAGGACACGCTGTAATGCTTTTGCGAGACCGCCTTTCCACGGGACGGCACTCGGCAGCAAAGCTCGCTGCGCTTTTGGTGACTCCTCCCGGAGATACTCAGGACAGAGGACTTCCAGTGTTGCTTCAGAAATCAGCGCGAGCGATGGGATCCGTGTGCTCTGCTCCACATGGGGCGGGGGCTGGGGCTTAGTCACC